CCTGCTTTCAAGGCGCGTTACGTGGCTCGAGGCTTCAGTCAACGGCAGGGAGTTGAATACTTTCAGACCTTCTCTCCCACCCCGAAGATGACCACTCTTCGGGTGTTGCTGCACATAGCTGCTCAGCACGACTACGAGCTTCACTCTCTTGACTTCAGCACAGCTTTCCTACAGGGCAGCCTGCACAAGAAGATTTGTTGCGCCGCCCTACTGGCTTCACTGGGTCGTTTCCTCCTGGTACCCAGTGGAGCCTCCGGCGGCCAGTCTACGGTCTCCGCCAGGCGCCCCGTGAGTGGCACGACACACTGAGGACTACACTTGCGGCTCTTGGGTTTGCTCCTTCTACTACTGACCCGTCGCTGTTTCTGCGCACCGACACCTCTTTGCCGCCGTTCTACATCCTCGTGTATGTCGACAACTTGGTCTTTGTTGCTGCTGATACTGCTAGACTCGCCCACGTGAAGTCCGAGCTGTAGAAGAGACACACGTGCACAGACCTGGGTGAACTGCGCAGCTACCTTGGCTTGCAGATCACCCGGGACAGAGCACAGCGCACCATTACCCTGACTCAGTCACACATGGTGCAGCAGGTCCTTCAACGCTTCGACTTTTTGTACTCCTCGCCTCATGCCACTTCTCTGTCTACTCGCCACTCGCTCTCAGCTCTGCCTTCGGATGAGTACGTAGAGCCGAGTGGCCCGTACCCAGAGCTTGTTGGCTGCCTCATGTACCTGATGACCTGCAAACCACGTGACCTTGCATGCCCTCTTAGCATCTTGGCACGCTATGTTGCTCTTGGGAGACACCGACCAGAGCACATGGCTGCAGCGAAGAGGGTGTTGCGCTCCTTGTGTAGTACGTCGGGCATGGGGCTGGTGCTTGGAGGGCGACGTCGAGTGGTCCTCACAGGTCACGCAGACGCTTCTTGGGCTGACGACCGGGCTACACAGCGGTCGTCACAGGGTTACACCTTCAGCCTTGGTTCCGGCTCTGTTTCGTGGCGGTCTACCCGATCGTCTTCTGTTCTCGGCTCCAGCTGTGAGGCCGAGATCTACGCGGGGGCCATGGCTGTACAGGAGTTACGCTGGCTCACCTACCTGCTGACTGACCTAGGAGAGCTGCCTTGTTCTCCTCCAGTTCTGTGCGTAGACAACAAGGCCATGCTGGCCTTGTGTCGGGAGCACAGACTGGAGCACATAACGAAGCACATTGCTCTTCGCTACTTCCTTGCTTGTGAGCTGCAGCAGCGTGGTCAGCTACGCCTTGCTTACGTGGCCTCTGAGGCCAACACTGCTGATATCTTTACAAAGGCACTTCCGCCTGGTGATCGTCAGCGTTTCTTTACGATGCTAAGTCTTGTGCCTGCTTGGCCTCACTTGCTCACTTCTTGACCTTGCTTGTACTGTGATCTTTCTATACGTGCACTTGCTTGTTTACCTTTATACATGATCTTGCATGTGAACTAGCCTTTTGGACTTGCTCTTGTGCTCGGATTGTGTGGTGACGTTGTGTTCCACCCTGAGCTTGCTTTGCTTTGCTTGACTGGTCTTGTGACCACTTGTTCTCCCCCACTTTGCCTATGGGGGTGTGTCAAACTAATATGCTATAGTCCATGTAAGCTGTAGTGGGGTAGACAATATAGGGTACAACTCTTCTAGGTTTTCCTTCTTGTACCCACCTGCTTGCTAGTTCATTCATTTCCTCATTTCTTCACACGAGGAAGTGGCGTGGATATTGGAAAGAAGATTGGCAGATTTTTTAATTTTGGACAGAGTGAGGTTCCAGGTGGTGTCTGTGAGACCTGAGCTACCCACATAAATTCCAAGAATCCTCGCGAACTCCGACGGGAGACGACTTGGGATATCACCTGCGCGGGTTATGTCAGAGTGGGCGAAATTGAAGGGAATGAGGGAACATTTGGCCCAGTTGGGGTGTTCTCTCGAGACCAAGGCAAAGGATAGCAGAGCATGGGAAGCTACGCGGAGCTCATTGTCCGAATTAAGGAAAATCGTGACGTCGTCCGCATAGCAGGCCATCAAGCGGCATTGGGTACGGGAAATGGGGAAACCAGGCAAGAAACAGGATGTGTAATGGTGAAAAACTTCAATAAAGCAAAGGAAGAGTAGTGGAGCAAACGGGCATCACTGCCTGACACCGGTCTTGACAGCGATGGGGGGGCCGTAGAAGTTATTCACGAAGATCCGGGTAGTCGTGCCTGAGTGCATCATTTTAACCCAATGGATAAAGGGAGCAGGAAGCCCAATATGAGAGAGGCAGGTGTAGAGAAAAGGTTTGTCAACCATATCATACGCCTTACGAATGTCTACCGTGAGGGCGAGAAGCGGGAGTGACTGTGCCGTAGCCCAGTCGAATATGTCCAGGGTGTCGTTGAGCGTATCCCCGATTTTCCGGGACTTGATGAATGCAGTCTGTGAGTGGTTAATGAGGGAGGGCAAGAGGGGTTGCAGCCGATTAGCTAGGCAAATGGCCAGAACCTTATAGTCCGTATTCATAAGTGTGATGGGTCTTAGGTTGTCAACCATAGTGGCGTCAATTTTCTTAGGGATTAGAACAGTCCGTCCCTGCAGCATGGATTGAGGAAGAGAAACTTGAGATCCCAGGAATAGAGAGTGAAGAGCAGGGGTGAAGCAGGTGCGGTAGGAGCGAAAGAGCTCTCCGAAAAGGCCATCCGGGCCCGAGGTTTTCCGCTCGGGAAGAGAGGCAATAGCCTTCGAGATCTCAACAAGGGAGAAGGGGAGAGAAAGGCGGGAGAAAGACTCAGGAGAAATCTGAGAGGGGGGGATCATTTTCCAGAAGGACGGGTCGGGGGAAATGCGTTGGGAACCGCTATACAGTTGCTGAAAGAATGCGGTGCAGAGGGAGGACATGCCGGGAAGGTGAGAGACTGGGGAGCCGGAGGGGGATTGCAGAGAGGAGATTAGAGATGCTTTGATTCTGCTGTTGACCCCTACGAGCAGGGAGGAGACCCCCATCGATCGCGGGCCCTCAACCTTGAGCTTCGCTTTCATAGCCAGCTCCGCAGACCGACTCGCTTCGTATCGCTCAAATTGAAGCGACGCTGTGCAGAGCCGTTCCTTGGCCACTAGGTCAGTAGGATTGACTGCAAGGTGAATACGGAGTTGGGATGTAAGAGTCTGCTAATGGGATGTGGTTTTCCTGACACGGATCTTTTCCTGACTGGCGAAAGCTTTGATTCGATTACAACGGGATCTTTTCCATTGGTCCCAATCTGGAGCGGCGATAATAGAGGGGAGAGAACGGCATGCCGAGCTGACTATGTGTTCCAACTGTGGACGTTTTAAAATGGCCAGAGGAACGCGTCAAGGCCGGGGGGGCTATATTAGGGCTGTCGCACTGGAAAGAGCACGAAGGAGCTAGGTCGTGGTCAGATACGTCTTTAGAGACCGAGAAATAAGCAGCATCAATAAGCCGAGACGCGAGGGAGTCAGAAACATAGATACGATCGAGCCGGGAGGCAGTGGGAGCCGAATCCTCATCCTGGTCACTTGGCGGAATGGCAAAGGAGAACATGGTGGCAGTTGGAAAAAAAAATCGGAATGTATCGGTAAGGCTGTGGTTAGAGAGGATGGTAGACAGAATATTGCCTTCAGAGATTTCGTGGCTGAGGAGAGGGCGATTCCGATCTTCAGGAGCGCGGACTGCATTGAAGTCTCCTGCTAAGATGGTACCAGCCGCTGCGGTAGGGATATCAAGAGCAGGAGCAAACACGGCACGGCACCACTGCCTTCGGAGGGTGACCGTACACGGGGCATAAACAGCAATAACGCGGAACTGCTCCTGCATGAAGTTAATGTGAGCCGAGAGCAGGCGCCCGTCTGGAGAGGGTTCGATTGAGGAAATGGAAATGTTTTTATTAAAAACTAAAATGGCAAGACCACCTGGTTTAGCACCATCAGAGAAGGGGGGGGGGGGGGGGGGGGGGGGGCACTGAGCGTGGGAGGAGGGTCTGAAGGACATAATCAGACGGGGGTAATTGAGGGTAAGTCTAGTGTCGACTAAGATACCGTAAGCCCCCGGATAGAAGCGCAGGCCTCGGATAAGCGCCGGCGCTTATAAAAGGATGAGGGCGCTTATATCCGGTCCTCGATTATAAGCACACCCCTGAAGGCTTACGGATTATAAGCGCCACCCTCTTCTTTTTTATTATAATTTTATTGAAATCGTTGTAACGAAACTAACATTTTCATTCCCACATTTTGAATTTCGATGCCCCCTCACCCTCGCCCGGCTCACTGGCAACGCGTCCAGTCAGAATGAGCTGTCAAGGGCGCACGTTGACTCATTCTGACTGTGTGTGTTGGCAGGGAATCAATCCTTGCCAACTTGCACGCGAGATTCTCAATCACAGTCTTGTACAGTATAGTTTCACAGTCTGTGTGTTGGCAGGGAATCAATCCCTGCCAACTTGCATGCGAGATTCTCAATCGAGCCCTGTATAGTTTCGACTCGATTCAATTCGCAAGAACGGGATCTACAGTTTGGTGGAAAAACGACGAATTTCATATATGCTATTATATAAGCACCGGCGCTTATAAAAATCCTCGATTATAAGCGCGCCCCCTAAAAAAACGTGTTTTTTTATAACCCCAGGGGCGCTTCTATCCGGGGGCTGACGGGTAAGGATATCAACTTTCCTTTCACTTTTAGAAACCCATGAGCGAAGGTCATACATTTTTTGTTGTTTGTTCAGTCCATTAACATTAATACATCGAATGGTTAGGGGGACTAACATTTGGAATAGCAAGAGGCCCTCACATGCTGAAGCATGTGCATCCACAGGGCGCGAGAGAAAAAGGAACCATGGATTGAAGTGAAGGCGTCAAGCCCCACCAGCGCAGTTAAGTACTTCTGCAATTGGTACAAGGACAGGGAATAGCAAAAGTTCATGCTATCAGGACCATCGTGCAGCTGGGAGGCAGAGCAAGCACGAGCAAAGGCCCGGCCCACCGATGGGGCAGCTACTGCAGGAATGCACTGATATTCTGGTGCTGCAGTAGCGTGGAGACCCTCCAGGCTCCATATTTCTCTTTCACAGCAGGAAGGTGCGCCGATTCCTGCAGGCGCTTGCGGTGAGTCTCTGAGGCGATGTGGTACATAGCACTGTCCAACGCCAAGCCGCAGGTGAAGTCGCACAGAGAGCACGTCCAGACCTCGACGTCGAGGTCCACTCCGATGAGAAAAAGGCCTGGATCCTTCTTGAAAGCTGCAGGGGCAGGCTGCTGTCCTATCAGCCGTCCTGCGATAGAGAGCAGGGAGCAACAGAGCTCGGAGAGAGGGAAAAAACGAGATCATAAAAAGGAATCGCGGGGGTGAGGGAGGGAAGCTAACAAAGCATAGAAAAGTGGACAAGTGAGCTCAACTGCAAAAGGAAAGATCAGGAGATTAATGAACAGGCCAGCATAAAACCAGCGAGCGAGAGACAAGAGGTGCAGCAGGAAGGGAGGAGTACCGTTGACAGATTGCAGCTGAGACACCGAGATGGTGTGGCGGTTGGGAAGACGTGCCCGGCGGGTGAGGGCAAAGCAGGCGTGGTCAGTCACTCGGTGGTTACTGGAACACACGGAGCAGGAGTGGGACGAGATATTGAGGAGCACCGGGTCCTCCTGGCCAGGGAGCCAGAGAACCGCGGGGATGCGCTCGAAGCCGACATCGCCTTCTGCTGCCACAGGCAGGGCGAGCAGCTGGGAGTATGCAGAGTCGTCGTACGGGTCTTTGAGACGATGAAACAGGCGGATATCCGAAAGCCAAGGCTGCCCAGCGTCGGTCACGCCAGCCAGAAGAGTGCTGCGCAGGCGTTCAGGAGAGTATCCCAGCGGCACATTGCGGAGGACCATGTGAGTATCGCCCCTGGCTAGGGCCATCGTGAACTCCACGTTGGGATCAGAGAACACTTTCACTTCCATCGCTCGGTTGTTAGCCAGACGAACAGTAACCGGAAACAGGGAACGAAAAATCCTTGCATCATGAGCAGACGGCCAGAAAAAGGAATGCCTCGAGTAGGTACGACGGGGAAGCCGCAGAGCCTCACCAGCGGCCGGTTCATACGAGGGAATTGCGCGCAAGCACCGCAGCACGAACCTCCTCAGCGGAAGATTCAGGGAAGATCACGTCCACCAGTGACTGCGTGTTCCGCGTCAGCGTGTGCAGGGTTGTTCCGACCATCGTACGGTGGCGACGCAGGTTCTGAAAGCGAACATTAGGAGCAAGGCCAGAGGCCGCACCAGCCGCGGCGTGCTCGGGTTCAGGTTCCGGCTGCACGGGCCGAGAGCGAGAAGCAGGCGCCGGACGAGGCGCGGAAGGAGCAATCGCGCGTCCAAGCGCAGGAGCTGTGGCGTCGGAGCTACCGGAAGAGCTCGCACGGGGGATCGACGGTGGAGCCGAGGTTGACGCAGAAGCGACCCCAGAGGGGCCAGCAGCCGAGGACTGCCCCTCACCACACAGCTTTTTCGCCGCCGGTTCGCCCGACTGGGTCGAGTGAGTACCAGCAGGAGCGGAGTGCGCGACCTCATCATTGAGCACAGGCAGAGCGACGTCAGAGAGATCCTCGAGGAATTCTTCCCCTAGCTCATCAAGGGTGTCGTCACCGACAGGGATCTGACCCTCCGTCATGACGTGGTCGGGGTTATGCTCCGTAGCCATGGTTGCGAGGGGTAATCGTAATAGAGCCGAAAGGAAAGGTTTATACCAGAGGAGGGAGGGGAGGCCTGAAGGCCGAGGACCAGCGAGGACCAGCACGGAAGGCAAGAGCCCGGATCGCGCATTGAGAGCAAGTGGGCGGTTCGAACAAGAAAAGGTGCCTCAGCAATGGCCGTGGCAACAGAGAGAGCGTGACTGGGAGACAGATCGGCTACCCGAGTGGAAAGGAACGCATGTGAGGAGACAAGAAACACCAGGCCACCACGAGGGTTAGCAAGCTGGCCGTGAGGTGGAAACGGTAGGCCTGGGTCTGGAGGACGGAGCAGGACCGCCGCAAGGGCCTTGCATGAGAGAATGCAGCTGAAGGTGATCCAATCTGACCCACAAACGGCTTGGACAGGGAGGTCTTCAGGATAAGATAGCAGATTCCTTGAATCGTGTGAAAAACAGCCGTCTTTTAAGGTCAAGACTCTGCTTTTGCTGAAGTGGCAAACTGTGACAGCCCAACAAACGGGAGTTAGCACAGACAACTTGCAATCCCATTTCACATTTCCCAGGATGTCGGAGAAGAGAAGGCGTAGGAGAAATCGAGACCCCAAGTACCTCCACACAAGTCCCTCGTTATTGTACAAAAAGCAGCATAGCTCACCCTCAAGAAGATCGGTTGGAAAAGAAGAGCGAACGCAAACAGCGTTATAATCGAAGTGATCCACGGGTGTTGAAGGGAAACGAAAGCTGGTGTAAACGAGGTCAAGGATCAGCAGGGAAGCGGATAGCATTTTTTTTTTTCTCCCGAAACTGTAGAAAGTACTCACAAGGTGCTGGGGCGGGAGAGGCAGTAGATGGTGGTGTCGAAGAGCTCCGATTGGTTCGTGAACTGGATAGTGACACGTAGGCCAACCCATCACAGTTCTGAGCATAGTGAGCGATGCGATATAAATTTGGAATCAGATAGATAACAACCGTAATTTATCAATTCAACATGTTGAGAGACGAAATGTACAGAATAGGCTTACCGAACCGTACGGTACGTGGCTGCCTCGGCAGAAGCAGAGTAGCGACAAAATAGGCAGGGCCATCGACTTTCCCGCCAAAGTTGGGGTAACTTCAGGGTACCCTCCCGAACTGTAAATCTCTCCGATTGGTCGAATATTCTGTTACCACGTTGGACGCTTAGTTGGCGGTCGTCGCTGACGTCGCCAGTGTTTTGGGGTAAGCTGCAGGTAGCACAGAGGGAACTTGTGGGTCACCACGTGAGGGTGACCCCGGGGTGTGCCTTAGAGCGTGTAACTTTTTTGCATTTTGTGATTTTGACGTACCGTCCGATTATATGGAATCGGACGGTACGTTTATAACGAAACGGACCGTCCGATTTGAATGTTTGCAACTTCGGACGGTACGAATGCATATGTGACACTTTTTCCACATGCTAGGGTTCCGCGATGGTATTCCTTTCGCCATCTCAAATGTACACTAGTAACGCCAGTCACAACCCTTCGCAATTTTCGCCTGTGGAGTTCAGCGCTTCGGAGTAGTGAGTTGTGAGTCAATGTCGTGGCTTCTTGTATTGTAGTGAGGCTAGTTGTGGTTGGACAATGTCAAATTTTGAATCCGAGCCGCATTTTCCAATGTTCTAGCGAGGCGGTCCGCTGAAATCCAAATTCGCCCGCCAATCGCGTGCGCGGACAAGAGGACAATCCGTTTGTGTTTCGGACCGTCCGTTGTCAGTGTTTCGTGTCGTTGGAAAGTGGAAAAAGTGTCATGACGGTTCGTTCTTGTAGCGACGTCGCACACATCCTCGCGAAAAACTGCACGACATTAAACGATAATGACGATAATGGTAACCCTTCGCATCGACGTACGGTCCACGGTTCGTTCCGTCGGGTTCCAAAAAGTTACACACCCTTATTCCGAAAGTGATTTCGGCGAGGTGAATTTTGGGATGGTGTGCATACAGCCGGGTTTACCAGTTGTGCGTACAGCCGGGTTTACCAGGTGTGCATACAGCCGGGTTTACTGGGTGTGCGCTGGGCTCATTCCGTGAGCATACGGCCGGGTTACGAAGTGCGGGGTTTACAGTACCTTGACTAGTGCCTGCGCTGGTCCGCTGACTCAAGGAAGCAATCCGCGAACAAGCAGCTTGACAGAGCACAAGAAAGTCGGCAGTCTGAAGTCAATCCGCGAACACACCAATCCCTGACTGCAATGTCGAAATCATTCACTACTACGCCTCCTCTTTCACTTGCGTTGTCTCGTCACAACAGAAGTCTTGCCGCGGCTTTTCATCCTCAGAAACATGGAACAAACAGCGTCATTTTCCTGCGTTTTCATCTGTAAGTGATGCTTGAAATCTGTAATTTACTAGTAGTATCGTCCAGAGACATCATGCCATAACATGTGGTGTGTTGAGTCAGGTGTAATCGTCTCCGTATGTGCGGCGTCAGCGGCGTTGCTCGAGTTGTCCTCCATTCCGTCCCTAGCGCCCCTCGATGCGTCCCTTCAACGGAAGGTGAAAGGGAAGATTTTCGGTGAGCGCTGACAGCCCATATTCACTCAGAGCCTACTAGGTTTACTAATACTGGTCCTATGATGTCCACATCCCAAATTTGTTGGGCGAAAATACTACGTAAGTACAATGTCGTCACATTGAAAGTACGTAGTAGTGCGCACATTGTACTGACGGACTATGTAAGTATAGGTTCTGCGACTTACAAGCTACTCTACACCTGGCAATAAGGTACGTGCTATGTGGATACTCAAATTTTGAGTAGAATTCACAATGTACATATTTCTCACTTAGAAATACTCTACTCATACCATCCTGATACCGTCTGTACGATGTTCACACTTTCACCCTACTGCTTGAGGAACCTAAAGTCAGTACATTGTTCAAACTATGCCCTTATTACGTGAGTACTATGCCCTAATAACGTGAGAACACAATAGGATTTTACAGCGTATTGCTGCAATATTTTCTTTCCATTTCAGGTTGCGCTACTGGTGGTAGTGCGGCATCGATAATCACCCATTTGTGTGCGTCAAGTTAGTACTTGTATACAAGTAATAGTACTACTACTAGTAGTAGTAGTTCTCGGAACTTGTGCATACACTCGGGCCATTTGTGCTGCGGAGCCATTCCGAAGAGTATCCTGACTCGATTCATCTCTCGATGTCTCATCATCGTGCCCTTTCATTGCAGAGGTCCATTCATACAAGCTCCGACCCACACGTAGCAGCGGAAAAGTGGTGGGAGACAAAGGAGCGACGGGGAAAATGTGGTTGAAGGGACTCAAGTAAGTTGATGCACAGTGCAGCGCGCATCGTTCACTAGTACTAGTGTGGGCGTACCATGACACTCCTACACATATTTCACCACTGGTGTGGGTGTGCCATGCAGTATTCCCAGCCATGAGGATTCCTGTTGCTTGGTGATCCCTACATAATCTCCCCATTTTCTGCTTGGTAGGACTGCCCAACAAGAATTCTACTTCGTGAATAAGCTTCGTGTGGACAAAATCCTGTCAGGGGGGGCTTTTCCTTCAGTCCTTAGGCAACCGGATGGTAAAACATGCCTTGATGGCATATATTCGGAGAAGAGTGCTGCAGCTCTACAGTGGAAAAACTTAACTTCTAAGCGGGGTGGTAGGCTCAAGCGCTACAGCTTTTTGACGTTAGAGATGGCGAAAGGTCCACAAGCAGATGTGATAGCGTACCTTCGGCAATACGTTGGACTTGTTCATCGCCATGCTATCACTGTGTCTCATCCAGATAACGACTATGCTCTCTGTGGGTCAGGGTGACTTCGAATTCTGTGAAAGTAGTAGCAATGTTTAGTGCAAAGATTTCTAACATGCAGATTCCATTGTTTGTGATAACTACACCCATACACACGCACCTTGACTGCTAGCTGCATCAGAAAAATGTGAAACTGCTGAGTACAGGGGGGTTTGGTAGGAAGGTTGAGTGACAGGGGGAAAGTGGAGGGAGTAGGACCAATGACTTGTGAGTAGGGAAGATTATGCTGTGTTTGCAACGAAACCCAGGAGAGAGACAAGAACAGAATCTTTTCGAGTACATGAAGCATTTTCCAGGGACACAAGCAACTGTCAAATGTTATACATTATTATAATAGGCTGTAGTGAGATGCACTGTAGAGGGTACAACTCTTTCTAGGGTTGCTATTTGTATCACCCACCGTGCTAGTCAATTCATTCCGTTGCTAGCTACTCGGCAGTACTGTGTGTACTCGGCAGAGTCATGACACCCACCTTACCGTGTCGGCCCCAAAACTGTCACCACTTTCACGTGATTGGTCGGACGTTTTGAGTGGGTTTTTGACGCGATTGGTTCTCGATTTCCCCACTGAACCTTCTTCTGGGGTTTTCCGAACCTACATTTTTCTCGTTGATTTCGTTGTGTAATTCGGGGTGTGGCCTTTAAAGCCAGCAGGCAAAATAGTGACCCCCCCCCCCCCTTCCAGTTGGGTCCAACTTGAATCAGATGGTAAGCACAAGTTAGAAATATATCGAGCTTCCACAGCAACTGAGCATGGCTGGTGTACCCAAACGTTTGTGCAAGAATTACGACCAATCAAGAGCATCGCCCTACCCAATGAGCAGAGACACAAACATACCCATATGGTTTTCGCACAGAAGGGCGATTGTGTTCCGCTGCACTCAATCAATAAACTGACCTGGCACTCAATCAATAAACTGACCTGCCACTCAACGATTCTTAAAGCAAAACACTACACACTGGATACGCCCTACCAAAATACTACGCAAACTCTTCACGCCAAGCACACGACTCACTCTCAAATCGCCAACACCCAGCCGCCTATCAAACTATATATGTGTTAGTTCGGTGTAGGCTATAGTGGGATAGCCCCTATGGGGTTCAACCTGAAGTTAGGGTTAATACTTGTACCCTCATTTCATTCAATGCAACCATCCCTGCTTGCTATCTTGACATGGTATCAGAGCAGTAGGTCCGTAGGACCATTTTTCTTTCGGGCCCACCATACTTAGCTTCCGATTGCGGTTACAGTGTTACCCCACTACCCTGCGTCGCGCTGCCCCGCGCACGCCGTGCCTTGCCCCGCGTCTCGCTGCCTCGCGCACGCCCTACCCTGCCTTGCCTGGCGTCACCCAATGCCTTGTCCTGCGCGCCCTGGCGCCCTACCCTGCGCTAGGGCCCTGCCCTGCGCCCGCACCCTGCCCTGCGCCAGCGCCCTGCCCTGCGCCAGCGCCCTGCCTTGCGCCAGTGCCCTGCTAAACCCTAAATAGAACTAGAATAATAATTAAAAAAAGAGGCCCTAGGTGCTTTTGCCCTAGGAGCTACTACATGCTGCTGCCTGCTACTGTCCTGCTGTGGCAGCGCGCCGCCCTGCTCTGGCTGCACGCCGCCTTGCTCTAGCCGCGCGCCGCCCTGTTGCTCTTACTGCTGCTGCTCCTACTCGTGCTACTGCCTTCACTTCGTACTGCCCTAGAGGTCGAGCTCCTCCTAGCTTGCCCGCCATGACTTCCCTTTGTCGTACCGGTGGGAGTGGTGACGGCGGTGGTGGCAGCAGTGGGAGTGGTGGCGCCCGTAGTAGCAGTCACTATGGCGCTGTTTGGTGCGGTTGTCTGGCGGTGGCCAGATGCAGCTACGGCGGCGTCTGACCCTTATGCCCCGGCAGCTTCGTGAGTGGCTTTAGCAGCGTGGGCCGTCTCCGAGTCCGGGTCGCTGCCACTACGTCATTCGCACAGGTCGTCGAGCTGGTGAGACCTGTGGGACACCTGGTCACGCACAGTCCCGGTGCTTTGCCTATTTGACTGATGCCTGACGCACAAAGTTTGGTGAAGAGGCTGAGATCCCCCCCTGGCTTGAGCCGCTTACGTCGGGTGTTGCTGTCTTTGCTTTAGACTATGACGCCATCCTTACTGCCATGTCTGCTTTGGCTGGTGGTGCTGAGAGTGACTGTCACCTGTGTGTACAGTACGACCCCGGTATAGAGGTTGCTGCTCTAGGTGCTAGTGAGGCTGCTGCCTTAGGTGCTAGCGAGTCGGCTCTCTCAGGTACTGTGCCTCGTGAGGCCTTGCACACCTTCACGCTTGACTCAGGTGCTTCCCGCTGCTTCTTCCGTGACAGTACTGAAATCACACCACTCCCTGCACCTATTGCAGTCTCTCTGGCTCACCCCTTAGGGGGCCCAGTTCTTGCACGGTCCACCATTGTGCTTCGATGCCCGGCGGTTCCGTCTGGCTCACTGATAGGCTTCCACCTCCCCCCGTTCTCTACGAACTTGCTGAGCAAAGTAGTTCTCCAGGACTAGTCGGTTGACACCTTTACCCCTGGAGGACAGCGCGTGGCGATCTGTACGTGCTCCTGGACCGGCCGCCACCTGGCCACGTTCACCCATCGGCCAGGGTCGAGTCTTTACACACTGACAACTGCGCCTCCTCAGGTTGCTACTACTGGTCAGGTTTCTGCGTCACGTCAGGTAGCCTCCCCTTGTGAGTGTCGCTCCCCGTTGCACCAGACTCTTCTCTAGCACCACCGCATGGGCCATCCCTCCTTGCCACGTCTACGTGGCATGCACCGTCGCCTCCTTGTGTCTGGACTTCCAAGGTCTCTCCCTCCCCTCCCTGCCTTACCTGCGCCGCCCTGCCTTCATTGCGCCGAGGGGCGGCAGCGCGCCGCTCCTCACTCCTCCTCGTTTCCCCCGACAGAGGCTCCTCTGCAGACCCTCCACTTGGACGTGTGGGGCCCAGCCCGCGTTCGTGGACGGGGCGGTGAGCGGTACTTTCTGCTGGTTGTCAACGACTACTCGCGGTACACCACGTTCTTCCCCTTGCGCACCAAGGGTGAGGTCCCTGCTGTCCTGATCCCTTGGATCCGAGCAGTTTGTCTCCGGCTCCGCCGCAAGTTCCGCCAGGACCTTCCTGTCCTGCGTCTGCACTCTGACAGAGGAGGTGAGTTCGCCTCCGACCTCTTGCGGGCCTTCTATCAGGGGAGGGCAACGAGCAGTCGTTCACGCTTCCGAGCTCACCACAGCAAAACGGGGTTGCTGAGCGCCGCATTGGCTTAGTCATGGAGGTCGCTCGTACCTCCTTGATTCATGCAGCGACTCCCATTTTCTGTGGCCGTTTGCGGTCCGGTACGCCGCGCAGCAGCTCAACCTCTGGCCCTGTGTCTCCTTGCCGGACACCTCGCCCACACTGCGTTGGACGGGGGAGGTTGGCGATGCGTCGCGTTTCCGGGTCTAGGGTGCTCGTGCCCTTGTCCGCGATACGTTCGCGGACAAGATCTACTCCCGCACCATTCCCTGTATCTTCCTTGGCTTTGTCCTTGACGTGCATGGTTGGTAGTTTTACCACCCCACCTCGCGCCGTGTCTTCCCCTCTCAGGACGCCACCTTTGAATAGTCTGTTCCCTTCTACCGTCTCTTCCCCTACCGCAGTGCCCCTCTCCCTCCCCCGCCGCTTTTCCTCGCTCCAGGTCCCCCTCCGGTAGACCCCCTCCCCCCTCAGGGTCCTGCTCCTTCAGGTGTGTCTCAGGTAGACCCGCCCCCCTTGGCTGAGCCTGTAGAGGTCACTAACATCTCAGGTGCTGCTGTGGGAGGTGCTGCTGGGGGTGCTGCGTCTGGGGGTGCTGAGCCTGCGCGTGAGGTAATGGGGAGTGCGGAGCCTTGGGGTGTTGAGCCTGCGGCTGCGGAGTCTGGGGGTGCTGAGCCCGTCCGTGAGGTGCCAAGGGGTGCGGAGCCTGGGGGTGCTGAGTTTGCTGGTGTTCCTCTGGGTCTCGTTTCATGCCGCTGGCCTGTCTCACCACAGCAGGAACAAGAGTGGCTTGCGTCGCATACCCGCCTGAGGAGTCGTGCTGCTGGAGCTGCTAGTCGTGGAGGCGCTGGGAGTGCTGGTGTCTCTGGTTTTGGAGGTGCTTGTACTGGAGGTACTGGAGCTGCCGGGACTGGTACTGCTCTTGGAGCTGGAGGTGTCGGCTTTAAGGGTGCTGCTGCTGGAGGTACTGGGGCTGGAGGCCCTAGAGCTGGTGCTGTCGACCCTAGCGTTGGAGACCCTGGAGCTGGATGTGCCGGTTTAGGGGGTGCTGCTGCTGGAGGTACTGGGACTAGAGGCCCTGGAGCTGGTGCTGTTGACCCTGGCGTTGGAGACCTTGGAGCTGGAGGTGCCGGTTCTGGGGGTGCTGTTACTGGTGGCGCTGGAGCTGGAGGTTCTGGAGCTGCTGGAGGCGGTGGGGCTGGAGGTACTGCTGCTGGAGTCCCTGGAGCTGGAGTCTGTCTAACCTTCGTCCGTCGGGGGTGAGTGTGCTCTTGGCACAAACGTCCTTGAGGACACGCAGGAGGACTTTGGGTGTCTTGCAGCTGATGCGCCTCATCTCGTGGCCATGCTGCTTGCCCCCGGATGCACGAGACATCCCGACTATGCGTGCTTACGCTGAGACGATCACGGAACCCTAATCCTCTTTGTGGCAGACAGCCATGAACGCAGAGATGGCATCCTAAAAGTCCACAGGTACTTACGTCGATGAGGTTCCTGATGGAAAGCGAGCGAATTTGGAGAGAGTACAAGAGATTAAGTCCGCCGATTTCGACGGAACATTGCGTGCAGCTCACGTAACCCTAAACTATGAGCAGGTATGCGTTGGAAATGGCTTAATCTCTACTTTCCAGAATGGTAACGCACACCTTCAACCAAGATCTAGGCCGATCGCTATCACGATCTAAGTGCGACAGGGTATCCTGGCAAAATTACTTGGCAGCCATGGATTAGATCAAGAACGTAGCTTTAGGAAGAGTTCAGAT